TTCAAATCTATATTAATCAGGTTATTAAAATATATAATATCCAAAGCGTTGAAAGTAAGATACAATTGGGTATCATCAGCATACATGTGGTGGTTACAATGTTGTATACTTTCCGGAAAGGTGGAAATGAACAGTGTGAATAAAAACGGACCTAATATGCTACCTTGAGGTACTCCACATGATACATCTAAGGCCAGTGATACTTCATCATTCAAAATTACCTTTTGACTTCGGTCAGTCACTATGAACTTCAAGAAGTTGAATCACCAATCTCTAGAACGAAAGTTTCACAGTATTTATGTGAAATATCTTATCAATTCCATCAAGAAATAACAAAATGTCATAATGAAAACTATGTGAGATCACTATTTACCTGAAAAATCATATCTTTTCCTCTCTCGCTGCATTGAAAAATAGCCCGAAAAAACACGATTTGTATGTCAAAATATGAAAAACTATTTCAATCCTTTGATTCCTCTGTAAACAAATAAGAAAAGTGAGGTTGTATTGTGTCTTACAAAGAAGTGAGGTTGTGTTCCAATGTTTATCCTCAAAGGTCGGTCATCGTGCACGCGACCTATTCTGTATATATTGACATTTCATGAATTTGTGACAGATAACGTTCTTTTTTATATCAATTGTGAATGTATGTTTGGCCTTACCCATATATATATAGGGTCCCTTGATGCGAATTGACGTATACCAGATCTACTCTGTTGATATACATTGCTATAAATCATGCAATTATTCTTATTATTATATATATCATTCTTAATTTTGACATGTAATTTGACACTTTTCGAAACTGACGGAAGTTTTGAAACGTCTTCCTTTACGTAAGCAGTTGTGTAAAGTAAAATATCACATGACTGGTGGTGGAATGTTCGTTTCAACAACAGTTATACGTAATAAATATATAAATGGAGGGACGAAAAGAATAGTACATTTTGTACTGCCTCCCTGGAAAATTCGAACTGGAATCAGCCATTTTGCACTAATGAAGATATCAAACGAGTCTGTTTCATGAATTTCGTCGCTAATAATTGACCATAATATATTATTGTTTAACGGATACTTCAAAGTGACGGGCAAGTCAACATGCCTTCTGTTCATGAGGAATTTTTCATCAGAATCAGAAAAAATTCTATACGTTACTCGTTTTGTGTAACTCAATCCCAACGTTACACAAAATGACGCATTTCCTAACTGCTTACGTAAATACCTGTTTCATAAACTTTCTTAAGTTCGGTTTAGAAAACCCTGTATCAGTTAATGCAGAATCCAATCATGCTTTGTTCGATTACAAATTGCGTTTGATTTGGAAAAAAATACTTCTAGGGCTTTCGAAAAAATCCATATAACATATGTAATGTAAATTTTCAACCACACTGTATAAGTTCTGGTAAAAATATGTCACTTTAACGATTATCATGAATACTAAATAGCTCTAGTGAAAAATCAGTATTCAATCTCGAAAATATTGAAGATAAGCATTTCTTGAATACTAGTCAAACTCAAAATTCTTCAGAAAAAAAAGGTAATGATTCGAAAACAGGTGAAAGTTGCCATGATGACAATTTTCATAGAAATAATACGTGAATTTGAAAAATTACATGGAATACAGGGTGTTATATTCAGAATAAGAACGTTTTTGTCCACTTCCGGAAGTGCTACGTTCCTGGAGACTGTATATGATGGCCTATAATATGTTGTTTGGAATTTTCAGAATTTCATTTGAACAGGAACATACGAAGCCCTGGAAGGGACACATAAAATAAAAAAATATAAAAACTCTTCAAAATAACTCGGAATTTTAAAATTCCGAGTTATAAGTCGGAATTTTGAAGAGTTTTTATTTTTTTTATTTTATGTGTCCCTTCCAGGGCTTCGTAGGAACATCTGATAACGAACGGGTTCTGTGTTAAACCCTGTATATTAAGATATTGAAAATAGTAACTGCTTTTATTCTGAAATTGTTTCACATAATTACACTACATCAAATTCTCAAAACTGGTTTATATGATATTTTGCATTCAGACCAGTTGATCATACAGGATTCTTTGTGACACACCAGAACAGGATCAATTTTGATGGTCCTTGATATTTAGAAAAAGATTATTGAATTATCATGTCCACAGACCACACGATTTTTTTGTAACGCGTATACAGATCAAGATCTTATAGTTATTCATTCAATAAACTGCATTTTACCTTGAAGGTTTTTGATTTCGACTATTTATGATCCACATTTCCTGCTCCGAAAGCTGAAAAATATATAGGCTCGTACAAATGGGTGTGAAAATGTTTGATTCAACGTGAGCTCATTCAATTCGATTGAGTTAAATGATCTCGAAAGAAAAATAAGTTCTTATAACTCATTTCACCAAAGACTTTTGTGTACTAAGTAGCTACACTGTACATAGGCAATACATAAAGTATAGGTATAGCCTTTACATACATATACTGTATGAGTATAGCATATACATACTGTATAGATATAGCTAAAAGTGCATCCCAAGAACTTCGTTTTCTGTTTCGGGACAGGAACTATTTCACTTCCAGTCAGCTGCTTATGATCTATAAGGCACGAATCCGACCTGTCATGGAATACTGTTCCCATATTTGGAGTGTAGCACCCAAACGTACTCTGAAACTGTTTGATTCTGTCCAAAGAAGGGGCACATCGTCTCGTGGGTGATGCCTCACTCACAAACTCATTTACTTCTCTGGAACACCGTAGAAAAGTTGGCGATCTGGCTCTATTTTATAGATATTTTTATGGACGATGCTCTTCTGAAATATCAACAATTCTTCCTGCCTTGGCAGTCCCCGCGAGATTAACCCGTCGAGTTGAGGCTTCGCACTCCTTCTTGGTCACTTTGAAGACCTGCAGAATATCTCTCTCCAAAGATTCGTTCATCCAACGAACAGCGAGGCTCGGGAACATATTGCCAAGGGAGGTGTTCCCGAGGCATATAACCTCCAGAAATTCAAGAAGAACACCAATTCCTACCTTATTTCCCTTGGTTCTCACGATGTTCTCTGAACAATACAGGATGTTCCTTTTCGTGGGAACCAGAACATAAAAAAAACCAATTCATACAGAGAGCTGCACAAAAACAGGTCAATAGGCACTGTAACTTCTGAATCATTCAAGATCGGATTTTGAGAGTTGGTGGGTATAACAAGTATACCAAATTGTCTTGAATTGAGACACAAGGTATATTTCAACATTCTAATCGAAAAGAGTACTGCTTCCAGATAAACCAGGAGTGATGAAATAAGTATATTTTTGTCAATGAATGTGCAATTTGGTATACTTGCATCTACCAAATTTCAAAATATTATCTTGAATGATTCAGAAGTAAATGTACTACATTATGAGCGTATCCATAGAGATGGACTGATAAAAACGGTACCACTACCACCCGAAATCATTTCATTGATGATTGCAAGTACCTTCTTGATTTGACTAGAAGTGTTTACTATTATGAAAGGGTTACGAACATATCGTTAGATTGTTTGTTTCCAAAAAAATCCTGAATAAAGGATTAATTGAGAATTTAATGAATGTCCCCTTGATGAAACTTTACAATTGTGAAAATTACAATCTTCGATTTAGCTGGATTTTTAAAGATTCACACTGACGGTTAGTTCAGCTCTACATGAATATTGAGGAACAAAAGATATTGAACCTACTTCTTTCAGGAAATCAAAACGTGGAGAATGTGTGTGAGAAATGCCCTAGTGGGAGAAAATGTCTTCAGTTTTTCCATTTTCTTGAAGACCTTTCATCACATAATCACTCCATGAAGGGAAAGAATAGTGGTACCTAATGATCTATTGTACAGCTATCGCAACTGACCCTATACCAAGACCAACAAAGACGTATATTGTAGTATATCAGCGTACCGTACGATTACCCCAATCATTTCATTGAACATTGCAAGTACCTGATACATAAATGCGACTCAGCCCCGATATTGGAACTACTATAAGAACAGAATGCCTTTTTTGGCAGCAATATGTATAACATTTGCTAGGAACTGAAATTTCAGTATCACCTAAAGGTTCGTTCTTGTCACAAATACCCATGCAGAAACCTTGATGTAGTACCACTCGCGGTACCGCCATCGATCAACAACACACTCACCTATTGATTGTTATTGAAGGGTGCGTAAAAGGCTTATCGTTAGATTGGTTGTTCCCAATGAAATCCTGAAGGAATCATTGAATTTAATGAATGTTCACTTATTGAAACTTTCTAACTGTGTAAACTACAATCTTTAATTTAGTCGAATTTCTAATGATTCAAATTGATAGGTACTTCAGCTTCACATAAATATTGAGGAATAAAAGATATCAACCTTCCCTCTTTCAGGAAAAAACATTAAGAATATAGGGTTAAATCGTAGAGAACGTGTGTGAGAAATGCCCTCTAGCTTTTTCCCAACAATTAAAAAGAAAGTTTCTTAAGATTCTTCATTTTCATGGGAAGATTCAATAACCTAATCACTCCATGAGGAGAAAGAAAAGGGGTACCTTCAGCAACATCAAAAAAAAAATCTTGAAATGTCCATTATGATGCAGCAGCTGTCCCAACTGACCCTAATCAACTGAGACGTTGATACCTATGTAGTACCTAGCGTACGAATACCCAAATTATTTCAGTGAACATTGCAGAACCCGAAAGATACCCAAAAGGTGACTCAGTGCCGATATTAAAACTACATTTTTCAGAAACTGAAATTTCAGTACCGCCCAGAGGTTCGGGATTGTCGCAAATACCCATGTAGAAACCTCAATGTAGTACTAACGATCTCCATACCGCCATCTACCAACTATACTCTCAACCAGCGTGTTCTTGAACACAGGTTGCACAATAACCCGTTTGGGGCACTGCAAGTCAACGTAGACATCAGGCAGCCATTGCAGGCAGCACCAGCGGTTCTACTCTCAGTGCCACTCATGGTACCGACATCTATCAACAACACACTCACCTAAGGCAGTCGTGTACTTGATCACAGGTCGCGCGATCACCCGCTTGGGGTACCGCAAGTCGACGTAGGCAGCGGGCAGCACTGGCGGTACCACTCGTGGTACCACTCTTGGTACCACCGGACTCTCTCTCTCGACGTGGTGGACAGATGGCGCGCTCTTCGACACCACAGCGTTGAAGCCGTTTACGGGGTCAGCAATGTAGTCGACGGTTCGAACGGTACCGTCGGGTTCCACCAGGGAGTACTGCCCCTTGACGACGTCGCCGTCGCGGATTTCTTTTTGGCTCTTGACGTCACCAGTTGTAGGGTCGCTTACGCCGTATTTGAAGGCGTATCTGGGATGGGACTGCGGGAATAAAAAGGATTATTTGAAAGACCTAGTACAAAAAGGAAATGAATGCAACATTTTGATTGTTGGTGTTATTATAGATTTGTATACCTATATATTACCAAGTTCTGTTCTTGCATAAACGATATAGGTGTTTGAACTGAGCGCGACTGCCATATGGGCATTGGACCAGTAAATATACAGGCTGATTCACGGTGGAAGGCACATTAGACGTTCTCGGGATTATTTTATTGGAAAGTAGCAAACACTTTGATTTTCTGAATGGGACACCCTGTATATTATTCCATTTTCAGATTCTTCCTGAAAAGCTGACTTCACTGTCCAAAATCGAGATTTTTCAACTTTAGGATTTTTTTGGGTCGAAACTATCTCAACTTTTTATTTACTAGCAATTGATATTTAATTGAAATAAGTACAGGGTGGTTAAGAATTAAGATTTTCAACCACCCTGTATCTATTTCAATTCAATATCAATTAATAGTATATGAAATGTTGTGATAGAGACATGAAAACCGTTTTGAATAATCATGAATAGTTTCAACACAAGGAATTCTTGAAGTTGAAAAATCTCGATCTTTCACACCCTATATCTTTGTTATCATTCCCGCTAGACCGCAAGTGTAATAGATCGATGAAATCAACTCTTCAGGAAGATTCTGGAAATGGAATAATGTATAGGGTGTCCCATTCAAAAAATCAAAGATTTTGCTACTTTTCAATATAAGCGGCAACGTCGGAGTGTTGAGCATATCTTAGGTCGATAGAACACAACTAATTATCCAAGAAACAACTGAATAACTGACTGTATTACCTTGACTACAATAAAGGGTGTCTCAGAATATACTAATATTATAAAGGAGATAGATTTATTTATTTGTCTGTTTGTTTGTTTGTTTGTATGTTTGTTTGTTTGTATTGAATCGGCTCCGAAACTACTGGACTGCTTTGAAAAATTCTCCAACCATTAGAAGCCGACATTATTCCTAATGAACATAGGCTACTTTTAGCCGTGGAAAAATGTTTCATTCCTACGGAAAAACAGGTAATAGGACAAGATGTAGTAAAAAGTATCCTCCGTACTTATCTTCTTCACATAACTTCTAACCGACTGAACCGATTGGGTTGAAATTTGTAATACGTGAAACAAAAAAAATACGAAAGATACTGAGAGAATGAAAATGGGTGTAAGTAAGTATATAATAGTAGATACAGGTGAGCACAAAAAATGGAAAAAAAATAACGAAACTGCAACAGGTGTCTTAATTTTTTTGAAATGGGTACACCAACCGTGCGAAGCTGGGCTGGATAGCTATAGTTTATTATAAAAGGGAAAACAGTTTTAATTTTCCGCTCGAAGTTGTGTTGTCGGATTTTTTCCCGTTCATAATGATTTTTTTTTGAAAATTATTATGGAAACTTTCCAGAAGATAAAATCGGTATACTCTAAATTAATCTCTTAACTCTAAATTGGTACTAGCTTCGTGTTACAACTCGGAATTATCTCGATTTTGTTTCATCAGGTATGGATAATAAATTGAAGACATACAATGTATAACAGCAATAAGAGTTTTGTGTTGGCCGTGAAAAACTTGATTTTGGAACTGATGACTGCAATAATTATTAATAAAAAATCATGGTTTTTCATTAATGTCAACTCATAGATATTTTGGAAATTCGATGAATAACGATGAATAGTTGAAGGAAAATATATTAAGATATATACTTACATAATAATCATCAGTTCCAGTATAATCTTCTGTTGGAACTTCGGTAATAGCTCCTCCAAGAACTTCTCGATTCACCAAGAGGAAAATTAATATAAGAAACTGAAATTAAAACAAATATAACAACAATATGAATCAAAACTCCTTTTTGCAAAATTTTTCAGAAAAACTTGAACGCCTACATGATCGTAATTTTTATTTTCACTGTTATCCTTCACATGATGTGGAAAATGAATTGGAATTTTATGATATTCCTCATATGAAGCGAATTTCTTGTGTTGAAATAGTTTCATCTCAAGAAGGTCATACGCATTAAGGTATATTTTGTAAGCCTGCCTTTCTTTCCCTAAGAAACAAGCATGTCAAACATTCAAACAAACAATGCTAATAATTATTATCTCAACAATTGAACGCTCCAGGTACCCATTGTCTATTGTTTTGTCGAAGATGTTTTGTTTACCTTTGTCAACGACATATTTTTTGGTGTCGTCTTTGAGAAATCACCGGAAAAATCGCACTTACACACTGTTGCCTCGTTTTCCCTCACTCATTCTTTTTATACTCCTCCCGGCAGAGGAAATATTTCGCCACTCCCTCCAAGAAAAAATGGTGCAAGAAATGCAAGAGGCTACCATAATCAATGCAATGATATCCATTGAGCAAATATTTGGAAACTATTTACACGGAAAAAAGGAATTGTTGAATCAAGCAAAATTAAATTGAATGGAGCAAATAAAAGAGTCGTATATGCACGACAAAATATAATCTTGAAATGAGTAAATCTATATCTTGTTTCAGAATGAATTTGAAGTTTGAATTGAGTTAAAATGTCTTGCATGAACTCTGGATCTTATTCATCAAGCACATCCATGAATTGTTTATGAAGAGATATTGAATTGGCTCAAACAATCATTTTGTTTGATTCAAAATAACAATATATTGATTCAATCAAATATTGAGTTATTTCAATGAAATATTTGGTTGGTTCAAAGAAATATTTGGTTGATTTAATGAATTATTTGGTTGAATATCTGGTGAATTCGATGAAATTCGAGAAAAACTGTATTTCCAGTCGACAAAATGTTTTGTTGAACCAAATTCAGTAATTCTGGAATTTTCTGAAATTTCACATCAATAGATCAAACTGAACTAGGAAACTAGTCGAATTCTATAGCATGTATCTCCAGTCTTTATTTCTCTTCAGCTGATGCAAAACTATTTCGGATTGCGAATCATTCTAAGTTCGATTTATCCAGCTGATATTTCAAACACGAAGAATCAGGCTCCACGTATATAATGAATTCGAGGCAGGCAGAAACGAGGCAAAATGATCGTCATCTAGAGGGGAAAATTTGACTTGATGTCAAATGAAATAAATCTTTCATTGATATCACATATTTCGTTGCTCTATGCAAGCAAATGATCCGTTCGAAAAATAAGAGTTCAAGAATGATTCCAATATCTACCTCAAGTCCTTATCCTGCTGAGGTTTTCCTCCTGAGGTTTACCTCAACAGTTTCATACATAGAAAAAAAATTGTTTCGAAACTACAAAATTTTTGTAAATTCAACAAAATCTGAGTGTCATATATCCACGACAAAATATTTTGTCACCGCAACAAATGTTTTTTGTCAGTTTTCAATTCAAAATTCATTTGATTTAACTCATTAATGATTCAAATCAATAGCAGGAATTGGTGGACAAATACTGTTTTGTTCCTATAATACAATATTCTGCTATTATGAACGATTCTATTGATTGAAATGATTATATTATTTCATTCAAGAGACAAAATTTTCAGTTTTTCAGAGAGTAAATATGTTAAAAATAACAAAATATATTTAGAATCGACAAAATATTTTGCTGAATAATAAAAAAGAAATCAAATAACTGAATTTCAAAACTAAGAGGAATAAGAGATACATTTTCTCAATTTATTCAAGACTATTAGCTTGAATAGGCGTCATAAGAAATTCTAAGACAGCCTAATATAATTAGCCCCAATCGAGGTGAGCGTAGGAAGGTTGGAAGAAACACCACCTGGTGGCAAAAATGCAACCAGATAATCATCCAACAAAATATTTGTTTGATATAATGTTCTTCTGGGTTCTGTTCAACAAACTAATTTGTTTGGAATAACAACATATTTTTTGATAGTGATGTGTTGAATCAACAAAATATAATGTTGTCATAATCAATTCCATTTTGTAGAATATAAAAAGCCTTTGATTGGTTGCACAATGAAATGATCGTTGACTCAACAGAATATGATGTTGTATTTAGTTTTATATTTGTCAAAATTAATTCAATTTTGTCAAAATTAATTTAATTTGTTGTTGAATGAAATGAAACTTTTGTTCAAGTAAGCAAATATTTCAATCAAATTATTTTGTCTCTTTGAATAGGTTGCTCATTTGAAATGAATATATATTTTGTTGATTCCGCTGAATTGTGTTTGATTTAACAAAAAAACATAACCAAAATTATTTTGTTGGTGCAACAAAATTCTTTTTTTCGTGCATTTTTATTAGATTCAATGAGTAATTGATGATTCAATCTTCCTGTCCCTCGTGTTACTTTTGAATCTTTCTTAGTTTTTGGGGGACCAATGAAAAATCGAGTTGTCTTCAAGCTCTGATGTAAGGGCTTTCAAGGCACTCATTGACAATACTCCTCGCAATACTCAATAAGTATCATTCTGAAATTTTGAAACGTAGTCGAACAGACTTAATTTCGCCTCCATGGAAGCTAAAACAGGGGAATAATAAAAAACAATCAATGAAGAAGTTATCAAGACACATGTTTCGAACACTCAGGTTCATCATCAGTCATACATATTAATGGTTCCACCATTTTCCATCATAGAAAAATACATATGAGGACCTGAAGGTGGAAATAAGTATAGAAGTATACTTACTAGTACAAAAAATAGAGGATGTGAAAATCACAAAATGATATCAAGTGTGTCCTTAGTTAATAGGTAATTAAATTCCATATGCAAAGTAGATGTTTTTCGAAATGAGGAATTACGATTCCTTTCAACTGTGTAATTGATTCAATTATGATATGAATAAATATGAAGTGAATATTCAACAGATTGTTTCAAAAATGTTTAATTGCATTTACCGTTAATCCATAACACGATGGAACATGATGTATTCATCATCCTGTGGTACAAACAATTCAATAAATATTCATAGCCGTAACGTGTGTATTTAGATCTATGCCGTAACGATTTTTTTCTGTGGAATCAAAACTACCTGTTTATTAGGTACTTATTATTGGAGTTACCGCATTGTTAATTTCTCGGAACTTATTTCAACCCTTTTTTCAACTGGAAAATTGTGTGAAATACCTACCCATAAAATTTGTTTGAGCACATCGATTGATGTTCTATTCACGTATCCTAAATCTATACTGAAATTCATGAAATATCATGATTATGATCAATTTCTCTCTCCATGACAAATGTTCATGTGGATGGATATAATGTATATATAGTTAAAAAAATACGTGTACTCCTCTTATAACACCTAAATAACACCGAAAAAATTCATGAGGTAATTCCTTGTGATATTCTAGCAAATGAAGTTCATATAACTATGTGTCCTAACTTGCTCCGTTTTTGAGATACAGGATGTTGAAGTTGGAAGTATTCATTGTTTTCATTTATAACCCCCAGTATGAGCTTTCATGGTGCCGAAATTCAGTATGTTTGGAGACTGATAAAAGTCTCTGCATTACGATATGGAATGAATGAAATTGGGGTTATTGAGTGATCTCAATGGTAGTCTTGAAAACACGCCTACATTACAATTTGGAGTCGAATCGAATTTTTACTGTTTCCTCAAAAATAAGGCTAGATACAAAAATAACACAGAGAATAAAAGAGTTGTTATTTCAATAGTTCCAAGACCAAAGATTCAGTATGGATCAGCTGTGTGGTGGCCAGGTACAGAAACCAGCAGAAGTTGTCGAAAGCTTACTAAAGTTCAGAGGATGGCCTGCCTGGCGATCACAGGAGCAATGAGGACGACGCCAACTGCAACGCTGGAGGTACTGCTGAGGCTGACGCCGCTTCCAATCTGGAATAAGAGGGAAGCAATGGCGGCCTATCTAAGGATGCGGGTCTCTCGGAGTTGGACTAACGGAAGAGCAGTGACAGGTAACGTGGAAATTGCGACATGGGTGGAGCAGGAGATCCCTATCTCCACCCTGAGAGTAAATAACGCTCAAAATAGGCTGAGATGTAATAGAAGGTTCACCCTTACTATTCCAAGCAGGGAACAATGAGAAGAGAACAGAGTGGAATTCCGCCCAGAGAGTCTATATAGTATGTTATACGGACGGATCGCGGCTAATTGACAATCAGGACTCAGGTGCAGGAATTTATCTAGAAGGAATAGGCATAAGGGAGAGCTACGCTCTTGGAAAGTATATCACAGTTTTCCAGGCTGAGGTCTTCACCATACTGGCAGTAGCGGAGAGGCAAGAGGTGAAAGAGGGACCATAGCAGAAGATTTACATCTGCTCGGATAGTCAGGCTGCTCTCAGTGCTATCTGCCATCCTAAACCAAGCTCAGCTTTGATGCAGGAATGTGGCGATGCTCTTGAGAAACTAGCTGAACAGAAGGAAGTCGAACTATAGTATGGGTTCCAGGTCACAGGGGGGTGCCTGGAAACGAGGTGGCCGACGAGCTGGCTAGAATCGGATCCGCGACACCGTTCTGGGGACCGGAGCCGGCACTGGGCATGACAAGAAGCCAAACTTCGTCTGCCCTCAACAAATGGGCGGACGAGGCACTAGAAGGATATTGAAGGCGTATTGGCGGCTGCAGGCAATCGAGAGGCCTGGTGGCCGGTCCAAGCAAGCCAAAGACGGCTTGGTTACTGGGCAGGGATCGCCAAGTCCTGCGCCTTCTTATAGGGGTACTGACAGGGCACAACAGGTTACGCAGACACCTATCTCTTATAGGTGTGGAAGATATTTCCACTTGTCGTGAATGCGGAGAAGATGAGGAGACATCACTTCACTTCCTCGGAGAGTGTGAGGCGTATGGAAGGATGAGATTCGAAATCTTTGGAGTAGATAAACTACAGCAGGAAGATTTGGCCGAATCAGAGTGGACAACTAAAAGAGGGATGTGTAGATATGTGGAGAGCAGGGGTTGGCAAAAAGGGCCCATGGGTGCCTACTTGCCTGGCTACAGCCTCCCCACAATACTACTACTACTACTCAATAGTTCCATCCAATAAGAATATGAAACTCAGGAAAGCTTGTGGCGTACAATGACATTCACCATGATTATCGATAAATTCTCCACTGTGACGCCACTGGAAATATTATTTCGAATCTAATTGCACCAGAAGAAGCTCCATAACAAACGATTCTTCTTGGATATATCAATACCCTGTATCTCGAAAACGAGGCAAGTTAGGGCACATGTTTAAATAAACTTTATTTACCAAAATATCACAAGGAATCACTCCTTGATTTTTTTCTGTGTTATTCAGATACAGAAAACAAATATAATATTTTAAGTTTCATAATTCTACATATTTTTCATCATGTTTTCCAAAAATATATTTATTCATATTTTCATAAGTATAAAGAATTGGGTCCTATTTTTTCCTGAAACGAATTAACTGTCTGACACAAATTATTTCATAACTTCTAACGAGGGAAATGTAGCAATGAGTAATCATATTTTCATGTTACACCTCATTACTGTGAGAATTATGTCAACCATGTAAATATGGTTTGTAGGCATCTTACCTTTTCCAGTGCTGTCAGACAGATCATTTGAATTCATAATTATCATTGTGTAAAATGCTTTGTTTTACTAATCTATGTTCTGCCAAAGTAGGCCAGACATATCTTTATAGGAACTTTTATTTTAATCCACACTGTCGATAGGAGTCATTACATCAATAATTAGAAATAATATGGTAATTCATACTCAGTAACACACATTTGAAGAAATTTGAAATAGTAAATTGTTATCATCGTTTGCAATAAATAAATTCAGTTTGATTAAAATTGCTCCGTAACTTTGTTTTTTTTTTGTGCTAATTACCTAATTTTTCAAGTAATATTTCATCAGAAATGTAGACTATTATAGGTCTTGTAATCGAGGGTTATTATACATTTGGTTATACAGCCTCATATTATTCAAATTCCACGGAAAAAGTCACACAGAAAGAGAATTTCAACCATAAAACAACGCAGAGGATAAAAACTGAATTCATTTTATCACGTGCATATAATTTTTATGAATCACAAACAAGACCAATAACAAATATCATAAAAATGACCTAGAACAAAATCCTCATGTACAAAACAAACATGCCAATATAACCGAATAGATGCAGATCTCGAATAATGTATTCTATTTGAAATAGGTAGTTGAATATTCAACTTGATTGAATCACAATTGAAAGGTCTATTGAGTTGAATCTATACTACCACTACCACAACTGAAACAATTGAATATCTGTATAATGTCATCAGAAAATTGCCATTTTCTTTCAAAATCCATGTGGAAATTCGATTCTTCTATTTCAAATTTAATTTCTCCTAGCTTGATAACCACTCAGAAAAAGCGAGAATGGTCAATATGTAGACTACAGAAGGATGACTACAGGATGTGGATTTTCTGACTCAAAATAAATCAACCATGGTCAGACATCTCGTGCCATGAACTGTGGAGTGTGGAACGGGTTCTGAAATTCATCCTTTGACTTCTCTTCTTGCGCAAGATGGCGTTCTGGAAAGTGAAAAGGATTTTCTTCCTTCTCAACAAAAGTTGGTTAGTAGTTGAGCCTCATCGTCCTCCATAATTTGTCTCCACATGTTTGGGGGTTGAAACCCCTTAGAAACTCCTTTTTCATCAATAATTTCCAAAGAATGTAACATAACCTCTTCATTTCCATGTGAGTACCATCCTTTTAAAGACAGTTTTTCATATATGATGTATCTCCTTATATAGTAGGACTTCCTATAGCATAGTCTGAAGATGGACATTGCATATGTCCGAAACGTCTTCCTTATTTGATGTTTCCAAATTGAAAAGTCGTGAAGATGACTTTGTGCTCTTCTCATTGAATATAAAACGATATCTTGACTCAATAAAAATGTAAACTATTATGGGTTAATTAAGAGAACAAACTCAAAATCTCACTCCAAGTAGATTTTGATGAAATAATACGTGCTTCATGTTTCGACTCCTAGGAGTCATCGTCAGGCTGAAATACAAATAAAAGAAGTTTCATCACTATTGGAAAATGGGTGACATACCTTGCTAGGTAGGAGGAGAAAAGAAACTATAAAATAACAACATGGTTCACAAGGGTTTAAGGCCCCAAATAATTTTAAAAAACATTTTTGAATTTGGGTTTCTCGAGCCCCAGATAAACATTTCTCTCAAGATGCTTATTTTTTGTATAAAAAAACTATCCTAGTGTAAAGCAAATGGCGCGAGTATGAAGTAAACAAACCATCCGACTACTTGATTGGAAAGATAAAAATGGTAGATAAAAATTATTTTTTGACAAACAAGTGACAAATAATGTCATCTATCAAATACACGAAACATTGAAGTTGACTCAATGGACCATAACATCAAAGTTCATAACAAAACAAGAAAATGATGGGTATTTAAAATTGTGTTTTTTGAAATTAGGAATGACAACATTAAAGAAAAGGATTGCCAATGCAACCGATGAATGGAGAGGCAGATCACAAAATGGAATTAAAAGTGGATAGGCAATCAAATCAACCTTGTTCATTAAGGCAGACAGTTGAAATTGAATGAGCAGATTATTGATTTCTAAAATTTCCAGAAGGTTAAGCTTTTTGCTTTCAGGATGAACATATGTAGGACTTCAAAATCTTGTAGTATATTATGTTTGTGTTTATTCTCGAAAATATGGTTTGCGAAAGAAGATGTAGAGTTACTATATTTGTCAATTGTGTTTTTATGTTCTGCTATCCTGGTGGAAAAATCTCTCCCTGTCTGACCAACGTATTCTGCATTGCAATCAGAGCATTCGATCTTGTAAACGCCTGACTCAGAATGTACAAGGTTATACAGATTCATATAATTAAAATTCCGAGGACTATTCCACTCTTCACATAATCTGACCAATCGCAAGCCAGAAACAACGTGTGCTCATCGCGAAAACATGAGCTGTCTTTCAATTCTGATTGGTCTGACAGCGTTATAGCGAATTGAATTGGTAAAACTGGCTCGCACTGAGTGGATATTTTGTATTACATTGGTAAAACTAGTGTCGGGTTTTGAATTCCAATGGAAAACTGGTTCACATAGTTCAGAGCTGAGTGCAACAATTATTCTCGAACGAGCGTATGCATAGTTTCAAAACCAAAATTGAGTGGCAATCTGATCATCACCATCAAGTAGTGATGAATAGTTGGAGGTTTCAAGAAAATAAAGGAGACTACTTCCCAGAATGCATAATTTTGTTGAGTGTTCTGCACTAATTCAATGATGAAGAGGTACTTATTGAAAAAAGTTCTCAAAATTATTTCCCTGAAACATCTACTTCACCATTTCACATTTTGGTGAGAACTAACGTAGTGCGGGTGCAAAACTGATGCAAATCCAGTGCACCACCAGGTTCACGAATGGAATTCGATATTAATGTTTTAGCATAGATAGCAACTCAAAGTCTGGATATAACCATGGATAGCCATGCAAAATCTGTCAGTTTGTACTTATCAGAACGACTCACCAATTCATGATAAATGCTCTTTATGCTTCGTAAACGTGAAATAGTCTATCAAAATACCACTCTGTCCTGAAAATCTTCTCATATTTTTGTCTCACATTGCCAACTCAATTGTGTCTCCGTACAGCAATACCACTCGTACTGACGGACTCGTGGTGTTGTTCGGCAACACATAATTTCGTAAACAATGAAGCAACAGACTTATCTCCAATATTCAGGACATCGTGATATCACTTATCAAAATAAAGTGATACAGGCAGCTGCTATCTATCAAGAGTTGCATGGAGAATCTTAACCATTAAAAAAACCGAGAATAATGATACACTCAGTTTATTTCGATACGTGCATAATTATGAATGACAAAGGAAATCAATAACAAAAAGCATCATGAATATGTCCTAGAAAAAAAATTTTAGATATAAAACAAATATTGCCAATATAACTTGATACATAGATAGATAGATATCAAATGAAATATTTTATAAAAAATAGTTGAATTCTCAACTTAACTTAATTTGATGACATAACAACAAACAAAGATCAATTAGTGAACACAAATGAAATGAAGCAGAATCTATACTACTATTACTGAAACAACTGATTATCGGTATTTACTGCTTGCTCTCAGGAGAGTATTTTTTTTTTTAAATTCTATCACATGCAGGTGGCATTTTTTTCACCCGATTTCTTTATTATTTCAAACTATTTATTCTAATTCGATAACCACCAGAAGAAGCGAGAATGGCCACAACAATGATTGGAGGATGTAGATTTCCTAACCTAAAATACGGATGTATCATCTATCCTACGTGTCATCGAGAAAGCCAATAAATTATTATAATCACATTTTATGAGTAAGAATTGGAACTTCCCCAAGTTCAGTTATACCCAAGTGTTGACTCGATCAGCCAAATACTTCATATATTTCTTCATTCTCTTGTTTTTCTGCCTGTCAATAGGATATTTGTCAAAATGGACGTCATCCCAGTAAATTCATAATTTTGATTGGATTGTACCAAATTTCAAGTAAGTAATTATAACAAAACACTGAGACAAAATTCTTATTCTATTTTAATTTCTGTGTTTTTGCCAGCGTAAAAAATATTATATACACCTCAAGACAGAATGCTTTCTCTCGGTGCTTTGTATCTCTCGGGCATCGCCCTCGAGCTACAAATCGCACCTGGGAAAAAATCTTGCATTTCTGTCCCTTGATGTATAATGTACTATTATCATAATGAATTGTTATTCCAGGAATGAGAATAATGTGGTGCTTAGTTATTATTAACAATAAAAAAAGTGAACTGGCTTACATGCCATCAACAGCACTAATAAGTTTCTGGTTTCTATCGAAATTCAAATAACATCAATGAATCGAGAATGTAATCATTACATAAACAACATTTGTTCATGCATCCTCATTTCCTTACTAGTGTATTGGTAATGTTTTAATCATGAGAAATGTTCAATTATAAATTTGACAGAGAAGTGAAACTTGACAGTAACTTCGAATTTTTGTAGGGTCAGAATTACGAATAAATAAATTAGTTTCGGAATAGAGGTCACCAGCTTACTGCAAATGTGATCAACAAAAACAATATCATAAATATTGCCTACTAACAAGGTTTCCATTCAGAACGACAACAACTCGACTATAACGAATCTTGGGTAAGTCCAACTCAAACCCCCGCCCCTCTAATAGTGCCCGTAATGCCCCTGGTGGCCGTAGTGGGCCCCTGCTGCGTGCACTGTGGGCCCGATTTTCTTGACCACCGCCTGGAACCCGTTGACGTCATCGGCCACGTAATCAACCACGCGCACAGACCCGTCTGGCTCCACCAGGGAATAGGAGCCCTTGACGGCTCCCCCGTCCCTGGCCTCGTGCTGGCTCTTCTGGTCACCAGTGACCGCGTCTGCTACGCCGTAGTTGTACTGGTACTTGGGGTGGGCCTAAAAATTAAACATGAAAGGATCAAATCATGGAAAACACCCTTCCGTCTCGAAGTAGTCCATTTTTTTGAAAGGAAAACAGAAGCGCTGAGTCGGTCGACCACAAGATTCATATAAAGTGTGATCATCCCTAATTATAATCGGAATACCCCAAAGTATCTTTATTATTTATTTTTCCAATATTCAATGCACTGCAGTTATACAGTTTGAACTCACAGACACGAAATAGTAGTCTTCACAAGTTGAATACTTAGCTCATCTGGGCTCAGCACATTAAACGGCAAGTTTCAAAAGCTAAGCGAGTCATTGGAGCCCTGTATCCATTTCTAAACAGACGAAGTAAATTGGATATGACACAAAAATTGAATATTCACATCATGGCTATTACTGTATGCCTCGGTAGTCTGGAGCCACACGGTTGAATTTCATATCACCAGATTACAAATATTACAATTGCGGAAATGTTGACTATGATCTCCCTGGTATGTTCGGAATAATAAAATCGCCAGGGATCGTGTCCACCATTAAAGAACGAAACATCGAGACGTTCGAAGAAGCTGGGGTTCATGAGAATCAGCTCCTTCGGAATGCAGTTGATTATGACTCAGGTGATTATTTAAAGTTCATAAGAGAACTAGAGATTATAATATCATCATCATGACCAAAATTTCTCTTCTCAAGTTTTCGAATTCAATTTGTTCGCTCGAACTTTTTCAATTCTCAGAATGTATACCTGAGATCTTGATTCTATGGAGCAAAAGGGCTGTTCGTAACAAAACCTTCGATACCGTTATTTTTTCTGAAGTCGTGATAGATATCAGGATAAGATGGTCTCTTCCCTGGAATCACTGGTCGGAATCGAATATACACACAAAATAGTATAATTGTGAACAGGGACTACAAAGAAATGTATACGGCAAGCTTGGCTTTAGTGTCACTGGTGCAATGAAAACCACTCCAACAGCCACTCACAAAATTTGGAAACCGTATTACCCCCCCTAGGAATGTTGTGAAAAAAATGTCAGGGGATGAGGGTGGTTCCAACCCTTCTACAATTTCTTTCGGGTTTCTTTTATGAGCGAAAAGAGGTTGATTCTATAAAATAAAGTCGTGTCAAATTCCATCCAATTTGTTTTATAATTGTTGTTGCTCATGAATGCAGATATCACCTAATCAAGTAATCACATAGAGCAAAATTCTCCTACCAGTGAGCAACTCCAGGACAACGAGAACAATAAACATATAGTCAAAGTGCTACTCAGTCTCAGCAAACTAGAGCAGGAGCATATGAAGCACTGAATGGTTCTGAATCTCATTGTAGTATCCAAGAGCTATTCAAACCACAGGACCGAACGTCTGGTATGTTTGTACATGGTTGAAATATAACAGAACTTGAGTTGTGGGTACGAGGTATATGGTTAGTATTATGTAGGATGAAACAATTAAAAAGAATTTCGATGAAATATAAATCAAATTGAATGATGGATACGTGAATGATTATTTATACGAGAACTCGAGAAAATATCAAATGTCAAATAATTTGACATTTGCAATGCCATTGCAGCTGAACACCCTATATCTCGAAAATACTTAGCTTATTATTCGCACTAAATCTATTGATTCTTGTTACCATTATCATTCAACAACCATTTGCAATGGTATTGCAGCTGAACACCTTGTATCTCGAACATATTTTGCTTATTCTTCGCACAAAATCTCTTATTGATTTTTGTAACCATTATCATTCAACAACCTTTCAGTTGTCTACAATCTCCCCCTTTATATAATTCACAACCCTCTTCAAACTTACGTAATAGTCTATCTCATGTCCATCACCGACCGCTATAGGTATCGGTCCTCCTGCCACAGCAATTCCCGCATGTCCCAGTCCAGCATGACCCAATCCTGCTGGTGCGAATCCTGCAGTAGCCAAGGGAGCAGCATATCCTGCGCCAGCGTGGCCTAATGGCGCAGCATATCCGGAGCCTGCGTGACCAAATCCTGTGCCTGCGTATTGAGCAGCGACTCCTGGACCTACGTATCCAGATCCCGAGTATCCTGCTCCCGAGTAGCCTGCATGAGCCGACGAAGTTATGATGGCGACAACGAGTATCTGGAAAGGGAACAATTTATTTACTATGAACGATGGTATACAGGGTGTCTGTAAAAGGTTGGGACAATAAAAACAAGTTGACTTAGGCCAACTTACATATATCCAGAATCGTCTCGTTGAGTTGGTACAAGGCGTTGAAGTTTTTTTGGAGAAAAATGAGTTTGCTCATAAAAAGAGAAGGCTGAGATCGATTTTCATGATTTATGGCAGATCGGAGATTATTTATTTGCAAATGAACCTCGAGACTTATCAAAAATTAACACGATGCAAGAAATATTTCTGGAAATATCTTTCTGAAAAAAAAACTAAAGGTTTCCAGTTTGACCTCTGAAAAGTTATCACCGAATTTGTACGGCAACATGGTTGTTTGAAACACTTGCAGGTCACTGATGATGATCAAAATAATCTCAAAACGTGACTTACAGGCACAGAACATGGCATGCCAAAAACTATGAAAATCGATCTCAGACTACTGTTTTTATGAGCAAACTTATTTTTTTCCAAAAAAACTTCTACGCCTTGTACCAACTCAACGAGACCATTTTGGAGATAGGTAAGTTGGACTAAATCAACTTGTTTTTATCCCAGGAATCCACCGCAGAGCCATGTCCCAACCTTTCACATACACCCTCTATGGGGTCCTGCAAAAACATCAACGTGGGTATTGGGATTACTGATTTATTAACAACGAATGGTGTTGGTATTGGTAAGTGTGGATAGTGACAGATGCGCTGCGACCTCATAAGATCTATTGTGTCCCATCTTCTTCTGCTATCTCAAGGTTTTCTTGTTCATAGCAGCCCCTCAAGCTTCAATTTTCTCAGGAATCTGAGGATTTTGAGGGGATCTGTTTGTGGTATCTCTTCCACGGTCAGCTGGTATGCCCCAGTATGTTCGATCTTTTGTGGTGTACAGCAAAACACTCCAGCAAGATGTGGTGCGATGTTTCTTGATGTTTTCCGCAGAATCTGCAGGTGCTGTCCTTCTCTAATTCAAGCTTCCTCAGGTTTCCTTTGAGTATACAATTCCCCGTAAGAAAATCCGTTATTGCTTTGAGACTAATTTTGCTGAGATTGCTCAGTGTCTTCGATCTTGCTCGGTTGAAATTGTCGAGGAGATCTTTGGCCTGTCGCAGTCAACGAATGGAAGACTGATTGTAATTTTATCGTCAAATGGCACAAATACTTATTTCAGTCATAAAACCATCCTCAAACCAATGTACCAAGCAATAGGTACAAGTACCCTCACTCAATATGATCATTGGAAAACAACTCGACCTGAGCCAAAAGTTGGCAGCTGATGGCTGTAAATTTTAGAAAATTAGTCAGGAATGTATTATCAAGAAGTAGACGTGAAATTTTTTTAAGAATTTCAACATTTTTCAATGCTGAACCTATCATCAATTCGACATGACAATAATTGACAGAGGTTGATTTTCACAATTTGGAGTGTTACAACTGTTACAGGGTTCTTAGGTTGTGTCAAGTCATACGTTTGACCACAGGGGTGATACCAGGATGGTCAATGGTTGCCTTGACTTCCATAAAAAATAACGTGGTAACTTTGCGGGCAGGTTTGAAACGTGATCGATATTCTCAAACAGCTGGTTGGTCAAACTGATGGTCAGACTACATACTGAACGTATGTGCCTGGTCAAACCACATACTTGACACAGCCCTTGTAAGGTGTTCTTGTAGTATATGCGGAGAAAATCCCAAAGCTTCTCCGAGGACACATCATAAGGATAAAAATACAAATTCTTCGAAAATGGCAAGCTCTGCAGATTTATGGAATCTTGAATGAGCTCAGTAATCATCCTTGTAATACTTCAAAATATGAAAATGGGAGTTTTTCAGTTGTCTGATCCAATAGATAATGGACTCAGCATCCAAAAATATCAAATTTTTTCTGGGACTGTTCTATTAAATTGCATTTTATCAGTCACCCAGGTTTTGTGGTGTTGAGATTCGATTGTTGAGTGATTTTTTCACATTCAAATGGCACAAAAAACTTCAAGTATCTTATGAGAGTGTATGTTTGTTTTAAAGTACACATCACCGCATTGCTTCCAGCTCTGTATCATACTGTGATTGCTTTGTTTCATTTTGCAGAAACAAGTGCGACAGCCACAATGGGATTAGGGCCGTAAAAGCCTCACCTCTAATTCTTCAATGTTTTCTGTAAAATTTGTGGGAGGAACCTTTGTTGTGATGCAATGTCCAGCCCTCTATTATTCTAAATCCTCATGAAACATTTTTTAAATTGAACTTTAGACAGTTCAACAATTCTACCAATCATTTAGTTACACTGGATGATGGTTGATAACTGAGAGTTTTGAATCAATTTGAGAATTTCCATCAAACTCGTGGCATAACGTCTTGGTATTTAAATTGATGATTCACCACTACTTCATGATCATTATGTATGTATGCTATGCTATTCTTCTTAGCTTCATTCAATGAAACGACAACTAATCATTGATGGCCTTTACAGAGAGACTATGGAGAATGAACGTGAGAAGTTCCTGGCCCCAGCCGACTTGATATATCACGATTTTATGGTTACGGTTGCATGAGATATATCTTATAAATCTCTATTTGCTAATGCCACAATAACAGAACAGATTTGTCATTTTGATAAAGTGATATCGGTAGTTTGTGACACGTGGGAACGTTGAACAGATTTATATGTACCTACATACAGGGTGTTTCCTAATTGGATGTCAATAGGCGAGGAGGCGATTCTTGGACCCATATTGAGTAGAGAATTTCATATTAACCCATGATTTGAACGTCTTAACTTTTGAGATACAGGGTGGTGAAGTCCTCAAAAATAAAAAGTTTTTTATCAATATCTGTGATACCACTTTAGATATTCTGATGGAATTTGGCATACATGAACTATGTATCAAGAGGCGTCAGTTAGTGTACCACATTTCTTCTGGTTGCCACCAGTGGCGTTCGTATGGAATTGCACATACCTATTTTGGCAGACATTGATGGTACGCCACTGATTTATCCCGAAATTGAGATCATTCCTGAGATTCTCAATCAATCCTAATGAAACTTGATCTCTACAATTTTTCCGATGATGTACGATTTTCGCTCGAAAAAAATAAGAACCTTTTCACTGCATTTTCATAACAATATCGTTAATAATATGACAATATCACAATGTAGAGAAATATTTATTTTTCAGGAAAATAATCGTGATTTGGACTGAAACAGTTCAATTATCAAAAAACTATTTATTTTTGAGAACTTCACCACCGTGCATCTCAAAAGTTAAGAAATGGACCCAAGAATCACCTCCTCAAATATTGACATTCAATTAGGAAACACCCTGTATATATACAAGAAGATTCAAAATTAACCATCGCTTTTTCTAAAGAAACTGAAAACTTCTATGGGCTACTTTTTCGTTGGTTATTCAATAAATACCCAAGGAAGATGGTCCAATAAGTATGTCTTGGGCAGAGTTTTGACTTGGATAAGGAAAACTCTTCCGCTATACAGAGTGTTTCACAGGTAAAAAGAAATATTTCAATGGTAGATAGGGGTCACCAAGGTGGTTCTGAAAATACTATATTTGATAGGTCTTAGAGTCTTCATAACGGAGATACAGGGCGATTTATCGATTTCGAATAATTATTCATTCGTCTATATGTATTGACCTACCCAGTATATCTTTCTAGAATTTGATATGGAGCTTATACTTGGGACGTTGAATCCATTCAGTAAATGAGCTGCACCGGTTCCAGAATCAAAACGTCACTTTTCCCATGTTAATCTCCATAAGAAAAGTTAAGGTTCATTCTGCAATTTTTGGTTCCTTTCAAGGTCATCCAACGAGCGACGCGAGAGATCCGTTCTAGAGATAACGGCGCGCATTTCGATACATTTTTCAAGCAATAATGGCTATATACAGGGTGTTTGAGTTGGCTAATAGTTGGGGAAAAAATATATAGAGTGAACCCAAAAGGCGTTATACCTCCCCGACGAGTAGACTACTAGCATATAGGCTACCCGCTAGCTAATGATATATACAGAGCGTTTGAGATGGATAACAGTCAAAAAATATACAGGGCGACTCATTCACTTTTGAGGGATTAGGCAGCTGACGTGTGACAGATAACAAAGGATTGATGACACGTGACTAGGCGACCTGCAAGTCGGCTATCTAATAATTTAATTCAATATACAGGGTGTTTGAGTTAGCAATAGCGATAAGAAATAATAGGGTGTCTCACAGGTAGCAAACATACGTATGACAGAGTATCCGTATGATATACAGCAATAATAGCAATACAAACTCGCATAGGGCACTCGTGGCCTGACGTTTGACATTTGACAGATGACCAAAAACGCAAAACGGTGCGCATTTAATTAAATTTTTCACCCAATAATGGCTATATACAGGGTGTTTGAGTTGTATATCAGCTGAAAAAATATACAGGGTGATCCGCAGTAATACTTTAAGGTATCAGAGGGTTGAAGAGGGTGCAGGTACTCTAAGAGAAGGATTTTTAACAGGCACTTCGAAAATAATGGTTTCTCTATATGCAAAGTCTCAAGGTTTATGAGATATCATTTGAAATGTGTGTGTGTAAACGTTCAGTTATGTGATGGAAATATGTCGAACAACTCTTTATCAAAACTCGTTCAATAACATGATATATACAGGGTGTTTGAGTTAGCAATAGCGATGAGAAAATATATACAGGGCGTCTCAGGAGTAGACTCAGCGAACATACGTATGATAGAGTATCCGTTTGATATACAGCAATAATAGCAATACAAACTTATATAGGGCACTCGTGGCAAGAAGTTAAAGGTGAACTCAGCAAAAGTGTGACAGATGACGCTATTTGACGATTCCGATCATTATACAGGGGTGTTTGGATAGCAATAAGAATATATACAAGAAGGCAAGAACTGACAGGCGGACCCTGCGAACATATTAACGTACGACAGATGACTCGCTAGAGTCCGTTGAATATACAGGGCTTTCAAATAGTAATACAAACTTGTATAGGGCAGATCAATTAAATTCAATTGGATTAAAGGAACTTACTCAGTCCGAAATGGCTTTATTTCTGAGATACAGGGTGGTAAAGTTGTAGAATGAAAATCGAATTATTCAGACATTCAACAACTAAAGTATGACAGATGACATTTATACTATTCGATAGATGACATATTACGTATGACACGTAACCTTCCAGCGCTTATCGAAAACAGATATCCAGGTTTAGCACAACCTACGAATTTCAAGAAAGCGAAAGAGTTAATTTTTCCCTAGATTCTACGGAAATTACAAGTTACGTCCCATAAGTGACTGCGTAAAACAAAGCAGAGTTTTCCCCAGATCTACGTACTTTTTCGCGAATATCATTATATACAAAGCGATTAGAAAAACCTAAGTCAACTGAAAAAACATATACAGGATGAGCCAAATAAGTGGAGTGGAATATATATTCAAGAAACATATACAGAATGAGTCACAAATCTCGAGTCGAATGAATTATTTGAAAAACATATACAGGGGGGTAGAAAAAATTCAAAATTTATTACCACTCATTCAAATAATAATGAAAAACAAACTATCGAACTACCATGAACCCAATCACGATGTAATTCAATCAAATGGATGATAGATGACATGACAGCAGATGACCGAGGCAGATAACAAACGATCGAATAGCAGTTTCTATATACAGAAACATAGCCAGAGTCTTGAAATTCTCTATACTTATAATGATAATATTAGACATCAGGCGAACTCAGCATACCTATACCCAGTAGAAACATCCTTTTACCGTCCACGTCGAAATATGTCGAACAACTCTTTAGCAAAACTCGTTTTTCTTATGGAAGTATTCAGATGTATTCAGAGGTCTTCAGATCATACCTTCAGAAGTATTCAGATGTATTCAGATGTCTTCAGAGGTATTCAAAAGTATTCAGATGTATTCAGAGGTCTTCAGAGGTATTCAAGAGTATTCCGAAGATATTCAGAAGCACGAAGTTCGAGCTACCCCGTATGCAAAACAGGAAAAAATAGGATATAAATACCTGAACAGCGAAGAAATTCACCATTTTCAGACACTTTTCACTGAAACTATGCACATGACACTGAACAGAGTATAGTCCGACACTTGGGAAAAACCCCAGCTCCTAACAGGTAGTGTTGAAAATCGAACTAATGAATAGAAATGAAGAATGATTGATTCAACAAAAAATATAACCAATCACCCCTCATTTGTCCATGCAAAAAATTCGAAAATAAATAGGCGATAACTTCATAAACATATTCCTTATATCAAACTGAATGAACTGGAATGAAAGAAGAATGATTCTACCAATGCCAGCCGATAACGATTTCCTGTTTACTGCGATATAATTATTATATCCGAAAAACATTATCATAGGAAATTATTGAAGTAAAATAATATATTATATTTATCCCATATCACAGTCATGATCTTATAATTCAGAATTGGAGTTTATCACTATAACGTGATAGAAAAATTCAGAACTCAAAGGCCTCTCGGATAGAAATAATAGGGAAAATATAGGACAAAAATGGAACGTTACCTCTCATACAAAAATGTTATTATTCGGAATGATTTATTTTACGTGGATATACATTCTTTGAAAGGAGAAACATGTGAAATTCAACCGACGATTCATATGAACAAAGAAACAAATATACAGAGTGGATCATTTAAGAAAATTTCCATACAGCAATTGACATTAGGCAGAACCTAACACATAGTAGGTATATACAAGGTACATCAAAATATCCAACACTTAT